TTATGTCAACAGTAAGTAAGCAAAATGCTTTCAATTCATTGATGGGCAATGTATGAGATAAAAAAAATTAAGCCGAAAAAGTTAAGAAGAAACATCAATCAATGGGCCATGAGAAGTCCTGTAATTAACGAAGTAAATTTTACTTTCTACCTATATCATAATTCTTTTTGTCTTCTCTACTTAAAAATGTTGGACTTCAAGTCAACTTGAGAAGCATTCCTCCATGAAATTAAATACCCAGAATAACTACTTTCAGAACGATAATTTAAAATGAAAAACAATTTTTATTTGCCATTAAGGGCTAATTTACAAAAATACCCACCAAAATTAAACGCAATTTACAAAAATACCCTCATTTTTTACTTTATTACAAAAATATCACTTCAGTTAGTAATTTAGTAACTAACAATTAAAAAGTTGACAATCTCAAAATTATGTCAAATGACTTATACTACTCCATTGCAAGTTCATTATTGGATGCCTATCAACTATTAACGTTTTTAACACAGTTAACAGAAAGTTAATAGAGGGTATTTCTGTAATAAGAGAGAAATTTTTGTAATTATAATGAAGTCAGAGCATTTTGCAAATTATCCTCCCATTAGCTTATATAATCTACTTGACTCCTAACTCAGGGGATTGTTACACCGTATGAAACCACCAGAATATGCTATTTCAATATTATGAAGGTCCCTTCTGATATCATGGGAAGGGTAAAAAACCAGATTTCCAAGACTAATGCTATCCTTACCATAGGCATGTAAAATTTGATCCCACAAAAAACAACTTCTTGCAATCATGTATTAGTACCATCCAACAACAATTACTCTGATTCACCATTTTACCAAAGTACCCAGCATTCAGCATCATTTCTTCCTTAAGACAGGAAGATTGAAATAAAAGTTGAAAGGCCAAGCTAGGAGAAAAGCCAAAACATAAAATTTCATTCACTATGAAACAAATGAACAATGTAAGTAACTCCTAAATTACAATCTGAAAGTATAAAATTTAAAAACAAATTGAAGATAAAATGAAAGACTAACGAATGAGCAGCAATAAAATAAACAAAAAAGTAAACTAAACATGTTGAAAAGAATAACGAAAAGTTCACCTACAATATAACTCCAAGTGACCACAAATCAACTGTGTGGTTGTATGGCTGTTCTCGCACAAGTTCTGGCGCCATGTATAGAGGAGTTCCTGAAAATTATCACACAAATATGAACAAGCATCCTTGACATGGAAAACTCATTGCCTATCTTCTATGGAAATTTGGTAAGAGCTTCAAACCAAAAAGACAAGAAAAAAAAACCTTTTATGGACCGCAAAACAACAGTATTTGTGGACATGGCACGTGCAAACCCGAAATCACAAAGCTGAGATGAAGAACAATACACACGTTTCAAACTATTCTCTAAAACAAAATTTAACCATGATCAATTGATTACTGAAAATGAATCAAATGCCAATTTGAAAATAATATGAAGTAAGTGCTGCAAACTAGAATTCGTAGATTAAATGATCATGACTTGTCTTCTGAAACAGAATTCTAAATCTGCAAGAGCGACATGAAGAGATAACATAAAAAAAAAAAACCAAAATATAAGGGAATATAATTCAGAAAGTTGCAAATTATAATTCAGATATCAAATGATACTTCCCTTCAAAACCTGAATACTAAATGTAGGTGGAGCATGAAGAGATAAGAACAACATAAAACTAAAAAATACAAGAAACATGCTGCATTGACCCCAACAGCTTTATCCTCCTCCAATGATTTATTTAATGAGCATGTTTAGACAGCTTTATTCAGAAAATTGCTAGCCTATTGGTTACACTTGAAGAATGTCCCGGATATGCTTTCCAAAGTCAAACGATGAAGTATCTTTTGTCTGTTTTATTTAACAAATTGCTAGCCTAATAGGTCCCATGTTGGTCACTTTGGAAACTTTAGTAACAGAGAAAAATACTATTTTCCCACAAGAAGACACCAAATGTATCCAATTAGAAATCAATTTTATTTAAGTTGTCAAACAAAATAGTATGCTCAAATGGTCTTATGTAGAAACAACAACACTGGGAATCCATCATCAGATAAATTTTCCATATCCACTATCTTATGGCAAACTGAAGATGTAATCTGATCTCTGAAACACATAGGAGAACATCTGCCAAACGAACTTTCGGCATCTAGAAAAAGCCATTCCAAGATTACCATAACAAAGCATTATAAATTGTCAAATTTAACCACAGGGTTAACCACATTAACTTCCATAACACTTCTAAAAGCTATTGATTTATACAATTATACGTACAAGATCCACCTTTTATCTCACAAAATTTTTATTCTTTCGGCACTGAGTAGTATTAATAGAATTCCACAATCAAAGAAGTGAATAGTCAGAAAGCATTATGAAGTGTCTAGTGTAATAACAAAGGACTGAGTGTGACAAATTCTACTTCCACAACAGTTTCAGATTCAAGGGTTTATCTAACTGTTCTGTACATATTTAATCTCACAATTTAGTTTTTTTAGCACCAAGTGACTTGTCGATAGGATTCCACAGACAAGAATTTAGTAAAATTACTTATAAATTAGAGAAAATATAAGCTATTAAAATAAAAGAAAACAGAACGGAGGCTTCATCCTCTGTTTACAGCTCGTATTAACCAGTAAAAGTGCAAACTGTAAATAATAGCTGTAGATTCTGCACTTAATTTAATATGGCCATCCAATAATCTAAAACTTGCAAATAAATCAAAGATAAAACTTATAAACGAAACACATTTCCATGGTTGTAGCTACCCTACCTTAACAACAGATCCAGAGCCAATTAGAATGTTCTGTGGTTTCATGTCACGATGAATAATACGGTTGGAGTGCAAGTAATACAATGCTCTTACCTGGAATTTCAAGAAAAGAAAAATATCATCTACGAAGAAATTTCAAATGAGCAATAGCTGAGAATTTTATTACAAATAGTAAGTGAAATAAGATTGATATTATTCTGAGAGGAGACACCAATTGCTTCGCAATTGCTTGAACTTGTTCTTCAGGAAGGGATTTATCATCCTCAAGGATCTCAAACAGTTCACCCTGCAAAGTGGAAATACTAGCATTACACATTCATAGGATGATGGCATTTACAACAAATTAAACATGCTTGCACATCCCTAATGATTTATATATAAATGCAACAGTGTATACTAAACCATGCTGATCCATATCTGAAAACAATAAAAGCGTAACAATTACTTGAGCAAATTCTGTGACAACACAAAACTCTTGTTGGGTTTCGAAGGAATCAAGCATTTCAATGATGTTTTCATGCTTCAACTTTCTAAGAATCTGCAGCATTAAAAGGAATCCCATCATCAAGTCAGATGAAAACGAAGAAATCCAATTATGTTTCAGCAAATAGAACTTGGCCAAACTAAAAGTAGTTAGATGGTAAAGCTAGCCTGCACATCTTTGTTGTAAAAGAAATGCTTAGTACTAACATATCTTTCATATCACATTTATGTTTGAAGCCCTCAGACATACTGCAGGTCAATGTAGTATTCAGGAGATGTCCTAAACTTGTTCAGTCCAGCACAGAAGAAAAATATGGGCAAAAAATAAGGATTTAGTTCTCTAATTTTAAAAGATATACACAAGCCCCAGATTACGAGGGGAAGAATTCAGTCTCTGGCCACCTGATAATTTCCATATGATGAGTGCGAGTGTGAAACATGTATCATTAGGTGCTCCGATTGTAAAAGATATATACAAGGCCCAGATTACCAGGGGGAAAAGTTCAGTCTCTGGCCCCATGATTATTTCCATTAGATGAGAGCGAGTGTGAAACATATACCATTAGATGCCCTTGAGTAAATAAAATATTTAGCCTATGATTGAAACAACTCAATTTTTTAAAAACGATCGTAAAATTTTTATTATAGCCAAATAAAAGTTTATTTAGAATTTTAAGTAGAATTGAGAACCTAAATTTTAAATTCCATGATTTTAATATAATTTGAAATATATAATTTCAATTAACTTAAATTAGGTAAACCTTTTGTAGTTTTGTATAAATACTTTATCAACTTTGCAAAAAATAGGGCATTTACTCCAAACATCAAATGGAGAGCAAGAGGCATAAAAGGGCAGTCTGAAATAAACGACGAAAAATAAATGTATTTTCTTAAAATCATTTCTGAGCTCATGTTTTTTTCACGGGGTAACAATTTAAGTTGTGTTTGTTTAAAACAGATTTCACTATCGTTCAATTCCTAAACCTTAAGTTATTACTAAGTTCAGAACGCTATCAAAAGAACTTGAGTAATTCCGTTACCTCAATTTCTTGTCTTAAACTCTGTATGTCCTTCTCACTTTTCCCATGCTTCATGATGAATTTCATTGCAACAGTCTGAAATTCATGAATTATGAGAAAGAACCATTGAAAAGAAGGAAAGAAAGAAGAAAATTCCGAATACAACATTACCTGGCCTGTGTACTTCCGTCTTCCCTTGTAAACTTTGCCAAAAGAGCCCTCTCCTACGAGCTCGATTACATGATAATTTTCAACTCCCATCTTCAGATTGCGGCAATCCTTTATGTATCTACCAAACAGTAATAAGCACTAGCAGGTTCCCAAATCAGCAATGACAGTGTATGAAAACTTAAGTACAAGTCTGATTTAGTGATAAGAAACAGACCTGGACGGCAACTCCACGACTCCTGACGATGACAATGCTGCAGCTGCTGGAGGTATCCGTTTCTAGATTGGGGAAGAGAGAGCTAGAGAGAGAGAGAGAGAGAGAGAGAGAGAGAGAGAGAGAGAGAGAGAGAGAGAGAGAGAGAGAGCGGGATGCAGTTTCGAAATGAGGGTTTGAATTTCGAAGAGGGACAGATTTCGGGTTTAATTTTTTGCTAAATTTTTAAAATTTTAAAAAAAGTAATTACTACTGTATTCTATGGCTGTATTATTTTGCATATAAAAATAATGTATATAGTAATATAAATATTCTTAGAAATTCATAATATATCAAATAATAGGTAACTTTGTCTATTAGTATGCTATAAAAATAAATTTGTTAAAAAAAATTTCAATATTTTAAAATATTTACTGAAATATTCTAAAGAAAAATAGACTCTGTAATGTGTAATTTTGGAATTATGATTTAAATTTGCATGTTATATAGTAAGTTCAAAAATAGAATGTACTAACACATTAGTTATTAAATAAGGAAACAATAAACAAGTTAAAAAAAAAAAGGAAGATAGAATATGTACAAATACAAGTATATATATATATATATATATCTAATGTATATTTAAAATATTTTTTATTTTGAGGATAAGGATTTTCTAATAATAAAATTTCTCTATTAATTCAAGTAACTATTGAGATGTGATGAACTTAAATACTATATTTATATATAAAAACACTCAAATAGTAGTTAATAATATGAAATTGAAGTTGTCTTATAATGAACATTATCATACACAATGTGATAATAAATTTGAATAAATATTATCTCATATAAATAAATAAGAGTTGTATAAATTAAATTATTATAAATTGTAATGATTATTTTAGTTATTATTTATTTTTTGAAAGTAATTTATTTATTATTGAAAAGATCTATGGTAAAAACAAACTATGTTATAGACAAAAAAAAAAATAGATAAAATACAATAATATGGTACAAGAAAGCACCTTACATCAAGCATACACGAATTCAAAGCCTAAAACTTATGAACTTATATATGCATAAAGAACCCCAAGATTTGCATGAAATTAATAATAAATATATTTAAATATCATACACGGCTACGAAGAAATTAGTAGCAATTTCAATAATCTCTATAAAAAAAACAAAGTAACAAAAAAATTGATTCCATAGCACTCCTTAATAACGACTTCTATTTGTTATGGTTAACAAAATGTGTATTAGGTGATGATCTATTGACAGTTTGTACTTTTTATAGAAATATATCTTTTCTTATGTATGTTATATACATAGAAAATTGGTGAATACAAGTAGTTATTTTCACTGTCCCCAAGTCTCATTTATTATTTTTTTATTTTTTTATTTTTCATTTTATTCTTAATTTACTTAATTTATTTAGTGGTAATTCCACATCATCACCATTAAGAATAAATTAAAGAGTAAGTCGCACATCCAACCGAAAAAGATTTGTCTCTGATGTAATCAGGCAACTCAACAGCATGGTAAAATCAATTCATCGGATTTAAGGAAGATTTTTCAGATGAGAAAATTGACCTTCACAACTTTCTTCACATATAAAAGAAGAATCCTTGAAACAGAGAGGAGAAGAAAGCAAAAAGAAAGAGAAAGAGAATGAGAGTCTATGTGTGTGAGAAAAGAAGAGAGAAGAAGAAAGAGAAAGGAGAGTGAAGGAAAAAAAAAGAGAGAGTTTAATATATATATATATATATATAAACCTTGTGGCAGCCTCATGGAAAGAAAAATAAGGGACTTTCATTTTGTTCTTTTAGTCTTTCTCTCTCATCATCATCATTTCTAAGTCCACCAAAAGTCAAAACATCCCATTTTTTATCTCATTTTCTCTCTCTCATATACATAAGAAAGGGAATGAATTAATTAAAATTTTCTCTTTTATGTCTTATTATCAATGGATTACTTTGTACTCATTTCTAGATATAGTGGATTTAATTCGAAATTTGGCCAATGAATTTTTCCTTTACACTTGAAAATTTTTCATGTAAAATCATTTGTTCATTTTCTTTACTAATTATTATTATTATATTGTTTAGTAATTATTTTAATTTATACAATTAATTATTCTTTAATTAGAACCCAACATGTAGTATAAGCGCTTAATTAATATGTGGTTCGAAATTAATTGTGTAAATTAAAATGAAAGAATTTGCAGGTACAATTATTAAATTAATGACTTCAAATCATTCAATTTAGAAGTTAAAGATGGAAGATCTTATTTATCACAAAAATCTGTATGTCCTTATTAAATTAGGAACTGTTAAGCCAATAGAGAGATTTGAAGAAGATTGGTAGAAAACACATAGAAAAACTATTAGAATTATTCGACAGTGGATAAATATTAGTGTCTACCTTCACATAAATTAAAAAGTTAATGCACAAAACTTGTTGAAGAATTTGAAGACTATGCATGAGAGAAAAAGTGCTCAAAATAAAACATTCATGATCAGAAGCTGGTGAACCTAAAGTTGTGATAATGGCGATCAATAACAAAACACTTGAAAAAGTTCCAAAACTTGGTAAATCAATTGAACACTATAAAAATAACTCTAAATAATAAAATGCAGGCATTATTGCTCGAGTTTGTTGATATACAGCCGGGAGACCTTGGTAGTGTCTTGTAGTAACTATGTTCTAGATGATGTTTTCTCATTATTTTTAATAAATGATAGTCTTTACAATCAGAAAACTAGAAGAAAATATATGGGCATTGATAATTCACAAACCCTTATCATAAAAAGCATGGGAGAAGTTATAATAGAGATTATAAAATAAGCAATAAAGAAAAATTCAGTTGTTATCATTGCAGTAAAAAATGCATAATCTGAAAAAAAAAAACAGAATAATGAGAAAAATCATATAAAGACAGATGATCAAAATACCATGGCAACTGTAGCTGATGATGAAGAGCTAGTTGTATTTTCTTTTGTTAAGGATAATTACCATGTTACTGATCCTGATACTGAGTGGGTTGTTGATTCAACAACACCCTAATATGATACACTTACGAGAGATATCTTTACTGTATATAAAGTAGGAGACTTTGCCAAAGTGAAGATGGGTAACACCAGCTATGTAGGAATAATAGGCATTGGCAGTGTTGGTAGTATACGACATATACCCAATTTGCTCATAAATATGATTTCTACTCATCCCTGGATCTAAGTGGTTATTACAATTCATTTGGTAATAGAAAATGAAAACTCATTAAATGTACAATTGTGGCTTATAGAGATAGATTATACCACACATTCTACAATACTCAAGTGAAGACAATTAAGAATGATCTGAATTCAACGAAAAATAATGTTTTATTAGACCTGTGGCATAGGAGGTTGGCTCATATGAATGAGAAAGAGTTGTAAATTATAGTCAAGAAATCTCTCATTCTTTTTGTAAAAGGTATGAGTTTAAATCTTTGTGATAACTGTTTATAGGGCAAACAACATAGAATTTCCTTTAATAGTTCTTTTAAAAGAAAATATAATGTATTTGAGTTAGCCCCATTGATGTGGAATCATTATGCAGTAGTAAATATTTTGTTACCTTTACTGATGTCGCTTTATGAAAGGTTTGGGTGCTTATTTTGAAAAGAAAATATTAGTTTTACAATACTTCAAGTAATTTCATGTTATAGTGAAAAGAGAAAAATGAACATCTTTAAAGTGTCTTCACAGAGTCAATGGTGGTGAATACACTGCAAAGTAACTTGAGAATTATTGTTTATACCATAGAAACAGACATAAGAAGATTGTTCCCGATACTCCTCATCATAATAGTGTTGCTGAAAGAATAAATAGAACCATCATAAAGAAGATCAAATACACACTAAAAATGTCTAATCTACCAAAACCATTTTGGGGTAGCTGTTTTAAATTTTAAGATTCCTGATATAATATGATATGGGAATAATAGTACCTACTCTCACTTGAAGGTATCTAGATACAAGACATTTGTGTATGTGCTTAAGTAGCAGAGATAAAAACTGGATGACAAAACTATTTCATATATTCTTCTAGGATATGGAGATGTAAATTTTGGGTATAAGTTATGAGATCTAATGAAGAAAAAAGTCATCAAATCCAGAGATGTGATCTTGAAAAGCACAAGACTCTATTGGACTTTAAGAGATCAGAGAAGACTACAAAAAGTGAAGATATTCCTCTTCCTGTACTGATTTCCCATTTAATCAAAGATGCTACTAGTGAAGGAGATGGGATTAACGATGCACCAACACTAACAGATATCAATGATGATGATGTGCAAAGGGAACAACCTCTTTTACCTCAAATTAAATAAGAACCTTAAGTTAGAAGGTCAACTAGAACACATCATCCATCTACTAGATATTTGGGTTCTGAGTATGTCACAATTATCGAAGAGGGAGAGTTAGAGAGTTTCCAATAAATTTATAATCCCAAAAAAGCTCAATTGATAAAAGTAATGCAAGAGGAGATGAGTTCTTTAGAGAAAATTCACACTGTTGAGAATTCAGTTGACATGTTAACTAAGGTAGTGATTCGTGACAATCATTAGTTCTACAATAAGATGGTGGGACTGAGTGACAATTGAGAAATGAATGTGCGGATATTCCATCATGGGCTGGAGCAGAGATTATTAGTTTCAACCCAGTACCATCAAGAAGAATATAAAAGTATGTCATACACACAACTAAAAAATATTTGTTTATGACCTCTTTTAGATTTTCCATGGCATACTAAAAATTAATTCACGAGACTTTTTGAAGATTTTTCAGGCATGAAAATTGATCTTTATGGCTCCTTCGCCTATAAAAGGAAAAACCTTGAAGCGGAGTAATGCAAGTGATATGAACATGGACATGGATCACAAAAAGAATGCTTAATCCAAACGAAGAGAAAAATTATAAAAGGAATTAACTATAATTAATTAGTCAGCAGATTTTGTGCAATTAATCAATATATTTTATGCAATTAGGCCAAATTTTATACAATTATGCCAGCATATTTTATGCAATTAATTAACAAATTTTTGAGCTAAATATGCTAATATAGTCTATGTTCCCTTACCTCCTAAAGGTCTTAGTTATGTTTAATTTGTTTACAAAACT